CACTGATGATCCTTTGGACAATCCCTGTTGATCGATATATATGCCACTGAGTTCATGACTATATCTAGCCGTTGTGGCAGCGGTCTTCTTTACACCGTCCTGCCTTTATAACGTGTAATCAAAATGCCAATTCCTTTCCAGTAACCATCTTATATTCTTCGCTTGACCCATTATCCTTGAAATCTACTGGCATTCGCTCTTACCGGATCACTGTTCATATGGTTCATTACTTGAACATTATGTTTGGGTGAGAATAGCGATTCGCAGATCATCGCTCGTCGGAATAAGCCGTTCGTACCCGTTTTGAATCAGAATCAGGGCAAGAGCTAGTGCGTTGCGGGGCGGTAATGTAAATGAAAAATAGGATCCGATTAACCGACCAATGCAATTCGCAGCGAAGGTTGCTTGTGGATCTGAAGCGGTAGCCCGCCCGAGGCATTGCATTTATGATCAGTCAGTAGCACTGACGGAGAAAAAAGTGGCAAATCCCGACCGCACGGATCAAGGAACGGGTAGTTAGTGTCTGCAACGTCAACTCAAGAAAAACCGTGAGAACTGGTGGGCAACGATAGCTAGTGAAATGGAAGTAGCAGCCAAATCAGGCAATAGTCATAGACTGTTCGAACTGATACGCAATACGGGAGGTCGGCGAACCACAGTTAGTGAAAAAATGTGCGACAAAAGTGGACAAGCTATTCACAATAGGGAACAACGGCTTGACCGGTGGGTGGAGTACTTCAACGAACAACTCAGATGGCCAGGCGCTAAACAAGCCATCTCCTCCGGTGTAGCTGAGATTCCATGCCCTGAAGAAAGCAAAAGCGGCAAGACCGGACGGGCTTCCTCCCACTCTTTTCAAGATGGAGACGATGATCTCGCAGACGCCATTACTGATACAACGCAAGACATCTGGTCACACGAGCGCATTCCATCATCCTGGAGCGAATCACTGATCGTTCCAATTTTCAAAGGATCGCATAACGACTGCGCAAACCACTGTGGAATAAGTTTGGTCCCAATCGCCACCAAGGTACTGGCCTCCATCATGCTTCGATGTCTGATACCGTTTAGGGAGACTTACATTCGCGAACAACAAGCAGGATTTTGACCAGGCCGCGGTTGCATCGATCTTTACTCTGAGTCAAGTCATCGAGCTACGCCATACGCACCGTCGACCAACAGTTGTCATGTCCCTTGACCTAAAAGAAGCCTTCGACTCAGTTGACCGTGAATACCTTATGGGTTCGCTTCTTCGTAAAGGAATACCGCAAAGTACGCGAACATACTGAATTCACTTTACTCGCACACTTCTGGTAGCGTAAGGGTCTACGGTGAGCTGAGTAGGTTGTTCGTAACTAGCAGCGATGTTAGTCAAGGGTGCCCTCTTTCGCCATTCCTGCTGAAGAACGCACTAAGGGGTCTCCAAAACGTAGGTATTGAATGGGCAGCTGGAGAAAGGCTGTGATTTGGAGTACGCTGACGACATCGTCTGTTTGTTCCAATGTATGGAGGATGCACAAAGAGCACTTGACAGATTAGCAAGTTCCGACGCTCCGCTCGGCATGTGCTTTGCACCTTCAAGACTGGGTAATGCCGAGTTCTGCTCTGAAACTAGACAACCAGGAATGAGCCGGAGTTGACTGCTTCTCGTACTTAGGTAGCTGCGTGACCAACCACGGTAACGCAGCAAGGGATGACCGCCCGCATTTCCAAGGCTCGAGCAGCGTACGCAGGACTTAAACGGCGACGTGGTTTCCTTGAAGTTGAAAGGTCGCATATATTGCGCCACTATATGATCACTTCGGTTTTGCGGTTGTGAGACCTTGATTTTGCGGGTAGAAGACATCCGTCGTTTAGCAGTGTTCGACAATCGATGCTTACGTAGTCAGGCCCAAGTGGGATGGAGTGAGCGGGCTAGTAACCTAGAAGTAAGTCGTCGGGTGTTCGGGAACGCGTCTAAGAACTCACTATCGCATAGAATTGCGCTCAATAGGCTCCATTGGTTAGGACACATCTTGCGTATGTCCGACGGCCGCCTACTGCAGCGCGCCTTATTCACAGTGGCTGTTTCAGGCTGGAGAAAGCCACGTGGAGGACAGCACATTACGTGGAGACAATGCATGAAGAAACGCACACAGCGATTAGGTAAAATACGTGTCTCTCGTCTTACAGGATGGGGTTCAAAAGACTCCGAAACCACATGGTTGGAGACACTGAATGACATGACTATTAACCAACAGCAATGGGGATCTTGCTGTTACTTCCTATCACACCAGAACGCTTGAAATATTATGTATGTACAGTTGGACTGTTTTTCATTCCTAAAATTAAGTCCGATCCCTATCCTCCTTACACATTCTCACTTACCTTGTATGCAGTGAGTTTGGTAGCGATCAGTGAATTTCGCCTCACTGTATTACGCTGTACGCTGATGATGATGATGATGGATCTCATTTCCACTAATGGTTAAGTCTCTACACCATATAACAGAACTAGCCGAACCACTGCAGCATACACACCCCTTGGCAGACAACCACATGTCGGGACCTCGCCACGAACGTTCCAAGCTGGCAAATGCTAGTCGAGCGCTCTGCACGCATGCCGACACCTCATTCGCGATGCGCAGCCGGGTGAGAAAGCTGCCCAAGTGCGAAAGTGGTCTACTATCTATATCACGTTTCTCGTTATTTTGAGTTTGGGAGCTGCATCAACCCAGTTCTTCAGCATTATCTGACACAAGATGTGCGCTGAAAATAGCTCTACTAGCACTCAAAGTATCCAGAAACGCTTACAATGTCCATGGATCTTCACTTAATGGTGCAATTTCATTTCTATATTCCGGAGTAGACAGCCTGCTATCCGGGAACAAATGGATGTTATTATCCTCGCACGAAGATAAGGCTGTTGTTATAAACATATATATATATATATATATATATATATATATAGACTTAGAAAAGGAGAGAAAAGAGAACGCTGACGAGCACCGCTTTCCGCAGTGGACTCGGGTGAAGGTGCCGTAAGCTCGGGCTTGACTCCGCCCATTGGTATAAATTGAAAAATTGAAAATATTTATCTGGGCACATCAGTCTAAAAAAGGTATGTTCTAAAATTTATGAAGAGTGAAAACGACAATACAACCTCAACCGGCTGTAAAACTAATTCCCAAGCGCGCACTGTTTGCTTGCGGCAAACAATCGACCAAAATCGGTCTGAAGACCGATTCGCACCCTTTGGTTGTAACTTGTTCCGTCTCGAATTTGACCTCAAAAACTGACTGAGTCCGCTTTGGGCTATGACTCGAGGAACTGTAAAGCACTGCGCTCACAAGCGAATCCTCATAAACACTACTACTACAGTCAGAGAACCCTGTAACGAAATATGCTTGACAGTCTGAATCTGGACTGAATGAATGCAAGGCAGTTTTCTTTATTGCAGCAATTAACAGCGAAACGGGTAAAACCCATATTCAAATAGTAAACGTGTAGAAAATAGTGAAATAGGAACTACTTTGTTGAGCAAACTTCTAAAGGTTCGAAACAGAGACAGAAGAGGATATATTACAATCTCGGGGTCCTGGTGCTGGGATCTGTCGGAAGGTAAAATGTCAAAGATTGAAGATCATTGCTAGTAAGCGAGCTGTAGATGGTACTTAAGTATTGGTCTAAAGAAGGAAACCGACGTTCTAACCACAGGCTGAAATTCAACGTGGGAAAAATTAAAACACGAAAGTTGGGAAGGAGTAACAGGGTGGATAGCGGCGCATACACCCGGATGTGAGAAAAAAGGGAAGGAAATTGGAGGATTGGAGATGAGACGGACATAAATAAGGACTGGAAGATCAAGGACGGCGCACGTTGCTATTCAAACCATGAACGCCACTGGGGACAGTGCGCGAAATGACGCGTGAAAGGAAAGCGATTATTTATTTGATTGATACCATACATGATTGAGAAAACTGGCAACCTATCCACGGTGAACTGCATAAGGCCCCGTTAGCTCGGGTGTGAATGGGGCGATAAGGACGCACCGGATTCATTGAATCCGATATTCGAGCAAAGATCGCGCATTGAGGCCAGTATATTTACTTCACTATACTAACAGCAAGAAATAGAATCACGTCAGAATAAGCAGAACCGCAAGCATAACATAATTTCACTCACACTGTCATCTGGATGCTTGATCAAATACAGAAGAGCCGGCAGCAGCTCCTTGATAGCTGCAATTGGCGGTGGTGGATCTCTACACCTGCACAAGTTGACCATGACCCAGGTTAAGTTCCGAAGAAAACCGAGCGGTATATCCGGTCTGAGCAGCTTTAACAATAATTTAAGACCACCTAGTTCTATAACGTGATCACGTAAACCAGGCCCATCTCCGATGATGTTCCCCAGGGCCCACACTGCCTGCTCACAGACGTTCGGATGAGGAGAAGACAGCAACTTGAGAAACAATGGGACAGCACCTGAATGTACTACGGCCATCGTCTGCGCCGACGTGCCTGAGGCGATGTTGGTTAGGGCCCAAGCGGCCTCAAATTGTAAGTTGGGGCTGAAGTGAAAGGTAACAAGAAAAACAACAACGTATGATCTTAGGTGGAAGGGAAAACATAACCTGGAGAAAAAGCACCAAGCACAATTAGTAACCGTGAAAAACATCCAAGACTCAATTCCCTGCAAACCTCCATACATCATTAGCTTTACAGTTGTAATGTGATTATGAAGTACTCCAACTTCGACCCTTGAAAGTCTAATGACTTAGCGATGAGGAAGTGGTAATAACGGTATTCAGGACTGACCACCGATGATGAGTGCGGTTAACCCCACTGTCGCACCACAATGCTGCACTCAGACTATCCAGACAGGTAGCAGCAATCAAAGAAGTCATCTTTCGGACAAAGATTCGTGCACATGAGCAAGTTTCGGACTGCCGAAACAATAACCACAATGGGCAATTGAGAGCGTCCAATTTCTTACGGTAATGTATAGAGGCAGGCCGNTAGAATTTACTTATCAGAAACCAAGAAACCGACTTACAAATGATACAAAATGAAGAGCTGTACGTCTCTGATGCAGTGACTTCTATCGGCAGTACATGGTTATAAAACCGTAGGTGTCTCTCATGTCTCTTCATCGCCGACGATCCAACTGCTCGTAAGAACATTAGTGGCGACTAAAACTTGAATAAAACAGCCTTGCCAGCCTTATCAGATTGACTTTTTTATTTTTTATTACACACCTAGGTGTGATGAACAGCAGACGAGGTAAACCCCATAGTCACGAGGACCTGCTGTTCAGTGGTTGAAATCGGCAACCGAAGCCCCGGAACTTGAAGTGGCGAATCACATAAGGCCCCAGTAGGTTCGAGAATGACATCCTACCTACCACGAGTGATTATCTTAGCACCCATGTGCTTAATTCCTCCTCAGCTTCACTTCCGACATCACTTTGTTCTGGTCTTATCAAAATTCACTGTTACTAACAGGTAGTCGGTTTGCTACACACCGCTCTCAATTGGTGAAAAGCCGTAAATCACCGGGTCATCCCGTCTCAGACAATTTCCACTTTATCCAAGGGTCAGCGCTTAAGCCTCGTGACATCTGTCGCTGATCACGGAGGACCTCAACATATAAACAACTTTATAAAACTTATAACTTATATAAACAACTTTCCGAATCCACTAGTTAGGGCGCTGCGTAGGAGAATCTTGAACGTGGCAATGTCAGCTGTGGTTACTGTAGTTGGGTCGGAATCCAATCCAATGGTCAAAGATGTAGCTACCAGTTCCCGACAATAACCCTATAGGAATATTGCGGGTAACAAGTTTTCGAATATTAGTTCTAGAGATGCACCGATCTGGCATCATTGGGACCGATCGGCGTAATGAAAACGGATGAAGACTGTATGGACCCTACCGAACAGAGTAGTTCCCCAAATGCAATTTTCATATAAACCTGGCAATGCACATCGCTCCAACGACGGAGCACGGCGCTCGAAATGAAATACAAAAAATGGGAGCGAATATTTAATTGACCGTGTGCATATTTGTCTAAAACGAGATGCATATTCAAATCAGTCCCGGAGCACAATCGCACTAGGCGAAAGCAACACTTACTCATCACACATTAGACATGCGCCAAATTTAGGCAGCATTCCAGCTTGGATCAGCTCGTCGATTGGCGGATTACGGTCACTAGATAGCAACTTCCGCGCTGACTGAACCAGAAGAAGTTGAATTGATGGGTCATCGTTGTGAACGTTAGCTATAATAGCCTCTAAATTCAATAAAACTGGCTTCTCATTCCCATCGATATCCGAATCGACTGGGTCACCGGCGCCGGGTACTGCGTCAACACTATTAGGCATATTCCGCTTTTTCTGTAAAGTTTCATCACGTTTGTTTTTACGCAATTGCACTTGGCCTTCTTGGCGCCTTCGTCTCATCTCCTAATTTAGNGATGGGTCATCGTTGTGAACGTTAGCAATAATAGCCTATAAATTCAATAAAACTGGCTTCTCATTTCCATCGATATCCGAATCGACTGGGTCACCGGCGCCGGTTACTGCGTCACCACTATTAGGCATATTCCGTTTTTTCTGTAAAGTTTCATCACGTTTGTTTTTACGCAATTGCACTTGGCCTTCTTGGCGCCTTCGTCTCATCTCATCAGCATTTTTTCCAGCATTTTTGAAAGACATCAACCGCGACGAGTCACTCATCTTTGGCTCTCCACTACACCTTGTCGTACGGCCACAGAGCGGACTGTCGGTGAAAACGAAACTACTGACTGGTCGGCGATTTAAACAAGGTCAGTTCAGGTCAGAACAGGACAGGACAGGAAAGGACACAGGATTTGAGGCAAAGCCAGATGGAGTCCAGTTTCTTGCACCAGGTGAGCTCAAGGTAGGCAACAGGGTGCTTCGATAGTCTTGGCTTTCCAAATGTTTCCAAGGTTAGACCTGCAAAAGGACTACACTACTGACGGGCCCACGGGTAACCGAAAGATATCGGAGATAATTTCAGGGAAAATGCGACGGCTTACATCCCTCCCGCTTAGTTGACCCATAAAAAAAGAGGACTGTGAGAATGGAAGTTTACTTGTCCTAAGAAATTGGGATGTAGAAGGGGAGTAGACACTTCGAAATGAAACTAAATGAAGAGTAAAGATAAGTTGCAAGGGGGCTGGATGCATGGCTGCTAGCGTCACCCATTTGATGTTGTTTCTTGGGACATTCGGGAAACAGTGTGTTCCAAGATACATCGAGCATCGTCTTCAGGGCGTGCACCCTGCCACAGTTGACTATCTCATTTGTCAGATTGTTCCAGCTGTTGACTCGATGGTTGCTGATGTTCGTCAGAACCTGTCACTAATGTTTGCTTACGCTCGTTTTGAATATCCGTCCAAAAAGGAAACAGAACCAAGGATTGGGTTTGTGGAAAACGATATATTCTGAATCTTCCGAAAGGTTGGAAGGAGGTTTGGCTAGGCCCAGGCTGCTATTTAAGCAACGGCAGAAAAAACCTGAAAGTAGATCTGATCAACGCAACGAAAGCGTGCAATACAGAGCTCACCGTGGGGAATTGTGTCGAGTTCATTAAAAGAACGATAATAGTTAAAGCAAAACTTAATCCTGGGAATGCTTAAGTTGTAATATCCAATAGGGGAACTTTCCCCGGAGGATAGCTATCGCCAACTGATGGCGATAAATGCTAAATCTCGACGGTACACTTGGTTGTGTCCGGTGGAGAAGGGTCCTTAAGTAGGAAGACAAAACCATAGCGGTAGATTTGTAATGACCACGATTATACGAAGAAAAGGAGCAATCCACGAGGACGCTTTCCGTTCATATTTTCTTCACAATCAACTCTGACTCAAACTGTGATACTTTCTTTGTTTTACTTCTGTTTTTTACCGAGCACGGTTTTCCGCTCAGGCGTATATATAAGCTGGGTCCTGTTCAAACCCACGCTACACGTGTGACACGCTTTCGCTTCGCTACTGCATTTATTGCTTGCATTGTTTAGCGTCACCTTGGCACATTTCGGTACTATCTGGTACCACGATTAGCCAATAAACGTTTAGGACTCCCACGAGTGTTTTTGTCTACCTCGAACAACGAGACACTAGGAGGTCGCGCGTAAATTGAGACTCGAAAGAAGACATACCGGCAGGCCGTCAATTCCGGTTTCTTTAGTTTGAGGCTGTGACCACACCTTGTCTGGCCCTCGTCTGGCTCAAAGAAATATCTCGCACCTTGATTATAAATCTTGAGGATTCTAAAGGTTTCAATCAGATCACCTCTCAGCCTACGACGCTGGAGGGAGAACAGACCTAGTGCTCGCAGCCTTTCGGTATATGTTAGTCTCCTTAGGAGAGGGAAAATCCACCTAAAACGCGCTGCAGCTTCTCCAGGACCAGTTTGTCCCGCACTAATGCTAGTGCCCACGCTTGGACACAGTACTCTCGTTGGGGCCCTGCAAAAGCTTGGTACAAAGAGACAAGGACCTCCATGTATCTAGAGGATACTGTTCTGCGCAGCCAGTGTATTGATCGATCTGTGAAAATCCTTCCTGTAAAGCCCAGTCATTCCATCTCGG